CAGTTCAAAAAGGAGGATAAAATAAGATTTTAAAGTTTTCTAGCATAAGTTTTATGCTACACTGAAAATTGACAGTTGCAGAAAAAACTACAAGAATAGTGGAAGATAAGAAATGAAGAAAAAAGACTTTTTGTCTGCCAAATTGTTCAGTTGATTTTTACTATTTCCTGTATGTTCAATAATAAATTTTCTTTTTTTTTTCTAGATGTTTCATTACTATGGCCACCACTTTGTTATCTTTGGTCAACAGTTCAAAAATTATTGCACTAACAGCACTACACTGTTAAAGAATTTATGAAGAAGGTAAAAGCATTTGATTTCAAAAAAATGTGTTGATCTTTTGAAATAAAATTTAGCAATAAAATGTTTAGTTGTTCGGTACAGTTTACTTTTTGTCAATGTAGAAACATTAATGTGTTGCTTATCTAATTTGTCAATAAGCCTGAGCTTAACTTTCCGCTGTTTTCAATTCTAACTAATTCTGTTTTTGTTCTCAATGTTTTAAAGGAAGAAGTTCTGCTAATTATTTCGTCAATATTCTTTTTTTTTTTTACTACTGAATTGGCTGTCGACAAGAAAAGGTAGATTAATTATGTTATAAAGTTTAGCACTGTAAAGCAGGTTTTTGAATATGGTATTTTAACTTTGTTGAAAAACAGTTGTATTGGCTAAAAACTGTTGTTAACAATGGTCAAGCATGTGATTTTTTTTAAGCTAAAGACTTAGCCAACTTTTACAGATTAGAAAAATTTCATTAAAATGGTTAAAATTTGTTATAAAATTCTGCTGTATTCTAAAACGTCGTTAATACTTTTAGTTTAATAAGACAAAAAAGTGTATACACCTTTCTGTAACAACTGCTAATACTTGCAAAACTGTAGTATGTTATTATCAAACAACATTTATATAAATACTTTTTCTTGCAAAGATGAACAAATTTTAGGTTTGGTCAAAATTTACTGTTGAAAGCAGTATACGTAGAAAATTTGAGCATATGCAGTCAGCCAAAATTGGTAAGTTTGAAAACCCTTTCAACTGTTGTTTACCTACTCCTATAACTTTATTGTATTGTGCATAGTAAAGTTTACAGCAGCTGATAACCGGTTTACAGCACATTGCCTTCTGCATTCTTCGTTCTACATACATTAGGATTCCAACAGCGTGGTTTATCAAAATTTCAATAGTTTTTAAAAAGTTTCTAAAAACTATAAATTTGAAATTATTTTCTGTTTTATCACTTCAAACGGTTTGATATTTGAAGTCTCTTCAATGTAATTAGGTCAATAAAGCAAAGAGATAATTGTCAAATCTTCTCGAGGTAATTATTTTTTTCTTCTTGACTTAAATTTTATCAACAAGAACAAATATCACATTTTTAAACCATCACGTTCACCTTAAAATTATAGTAAAGTTTTACAAAATTTAACGGCATTGAAGTGATTAATACAGATCAGAATGGCTGAACTATTTCGTAAAACCAGTTACCTCAAAAAAGGCAATGCTTTGTGTAAAAGCATTTTTGTTGTTGAAAAAATAGATACTTTACTCGTTTCTTCTAAAAATATTAACTTTTTTTCTGTGCAGCTGGTAAAATTCCGTGTATATTTAACTTGAAGCATGTCTTTTTTTTTTGTAAAAAATGTACATTTATCGAGTTTTTAACAAAAATGAAATATTTCTTAACTAAAACAAAGTTGGTTAATACAAGAAACAGCTAAAAACAGGTCATTAAACCTTCAAAATACTGTAGAATACAACTTTTTTTAGTTAAAGAGCTATGCACAGTAACACTAAAATTAGATATATCGACATTAAACCGAGTTACCCAACAGCTCAGCATTGATCCTAGTGTGTGAAAAAAAATTTAGGTAGCTTTCTTAAGCAAAACAAACATACATTTATCTTTTGTTCTTGGGAGTAGTGACAGTAGGGTCTTCGTTAAACGAAAAACAGATGAGATTTCCAATCTTTAATTCAGCTCTGAAGACTGTGAAGTTTGGGGAGCATCATCTACCTCTTACGATGCCACTGAAAACCGGTTTTCTAGGACAGGGAGGTCCTAGAATTGAGAAATTTTATCAACTTCTCAGGTAAATTCTCCTCGTCTAATGAAACAGACAAGAACCCTGAAAACTGGGTACTGCAGCAGGAGAACCACTAGAAGCACTTGTCAAACCTTACTACTGGCTATCAAGTGTCAAAGTCAACATTTTAAAGTGGCCGCCACAGATTACCGCCACAGATTATCCGAAAAATTTAGTTTTTCTTTTAAACAAGGAGAAGAAAGTATTAAATGCTAAATGCTTTGCAACAGTAATTCAGGTATATTAGGGTAAGACATTTAGGGATAAAATGTGATGAACATTTAGCGGCTTTAGTTCGCTTTGGCGTTGACCGCTTAAGCAGACAGTGCATAGCGGTACCTCGCGAAAAATGTGTCTGATGAAATGACGGAGATTACTAAGCATCTAAGACTGTAAGTTTCCGAAATGCCTATTGCAAAACTTTATCACGAATACCGTTCACGTTTTCAGAACGGAAAAATTGGAAAGTTTTTAACAGCAGCTATTATAAGCAGGTTTTTTGCGATATTAATGATTTTTAATGAAAGATCTGCCAGTCGACGTCGAGCAGCCCGCTGTTGGCTTTCTATGAAGCCAAATATGCAACTTTTTTGGCTTAAAATTTCCCTTATCCTGCTTTTTATTGGTGAATTTAACGAAAAAAAAAAAAAAAGAATTTTGCATCAGCTTACAGTAATATATTTTCGAAAAGTGTACAGCACACAGCTGTTCTCTAAAACCGCTCTCTTCATCAATTGCGATAACTTTCATTGCAAGACCGCTCTTTTGTAATACCTGAGACTTGTCATCATAAGAATTACTATTAAAATCTATGAAATAAATGCTTGTTGTTCGAATTGAGTTCAACTGTCTGGTTGGTTTATTCTCGTTTAAAAACGATTTGAACAACTACCTGATAATGCCTGTTGGTTGATCTATTCTAAAAATTTTACTGTAATTTTGGATTCTAAATAATCTTAAATAAATGTTCAGTAGGAACAATCAAACAAATTGTATGCTTATAATTTTTTGAAGGTGAACCTCTACAAGCAATCATACTTCTGGCTGCTTTTATTGGATATGTCTTTTGGACGTTCGTAAGGATAAAAGATGGCCCATTTCTTCATCATACTTTCTTAAAACGCTTATTCTTCAGTGATAAAGGTACTTGATTAGTGTTAATGAGGAAAAGCGAATTAACTTTTGTGTGCTGTATGCATAAATAAAATTCAGTAATCAATGACTGATTCATGGTATAACTGTTTTTTATGTAAACTTTCTTCACTGTATTATGAAACTTTATAAACTTTATACAAATTAAAGCAAGTTTACAATACTGTATTCCTATTCAAATGTAATTTGCAATTCAATAATTGTTTTGTAATTAACAACAGTAGCGACAAATTAACTGAAGAGAATGAAGAAATTCTCAATTGAGGATTAATCATTGCACTTAAAAGATTTGTACGAAATATTGGTAACTAATATCACAGACATTAGAAGTGCTGAACAGTAAAAGGTTCAAGATGAACATCATCAAATAAACATTAACAAAAAGCAAACTGGTAGTGAATAACTAATCTCTGTACTTCAGCTAAAAAACTCTTCCAAATTTTAATACTTGTTAACCTAATCACTCCTTTGTTATTCGTTCTAAGTAATGGTTAACAAAATTACTGTCACAGGCATCATCGGAGAACCACCATTTCCGAATATCTCTGACAAGTTTGGTTTTTTTGCCAACGTGGTAAAGAAAGCGACAAAGTGAACAGCCAGCTGAAATATCCTTGCTCATTCTACTTACTTCGAACCTTTTAGTCCACTGAAAATATCTGAAAAAGAAGTTTTTTAAGTGATGCTCTACTTGTTAGTAGTAATGCAGCACATAAAAAGTTTGTCATTTGTAATTATCGCCTTACTGAGTCAGACTTGAGACAAATTGTCAGTTTATGTTAATTTACATTTACAAAAATCGCGATTTTATATTACCTCAGATATGCCTCTTCATCACCTTCTAACTTTTTCAAGTAACGTCCAAGGCTTTGTACTGACTGGAAGTCATCAACGGCTATATAGGAACCATTTGGAAGTATATTAGCAACAATTGAGCGTTTCAGGACTACTGGTACAATTAATTTCTTCATTCTGAACGCTTTTTCTGTTACATACTCCTTACAAATACTGTTCTCGAAAGCTAAATAAAATCGATGCTGTCCTGAAAATTGGTTACAGTTAAATAAATAGAACTGATGCTGCCAAACAGTAGCTATATTTCACAGTAAACGCATTTACTAATTTGTTTCATCTCACAGTTGTCATCGCATTCTCTTCCACTACATTTACCATAATCCGAGATGGCGATATACTTCTTTAATTTTTCGATAATGACTTCTCGATTTGACTTACTACGACAATTTGACCTCAGCACTAGAACGGATTTTGTCTTTGACAACACCAAAGACCTTACCTAAACGACAGTAACGTTTACCAGCCTTGCTTATCTCTTTATTTAACTATAAGTCTTTGTATAAGTCTTTGTTGCAGTTTCTCCTATAAAAAACTTATTAATTCAGAACGGATTTATAACTAGTGCCACCTTATCCCAACTATTCATTACTTCTGTTTGAGTAGCGTTGGTAATTTCTTCGAAACTGTCGTAAGGAGTCCAAACATCACTATCCCTTTTATAGGTCATAGTTAAGTTGAAGAACTTCGACTGTATACGACCAGCTGCGCTACCAGAATTAGGAGGGGATTCTAGTGAGTAGAAAACGTAGAATTGTTTTGGGAACCTTTGATGCGGAAGGTCTGACAAATCTAGATTACGGATGTGGAAGACAACAGCATCAAACGTATTAATACATTGCCTTCTGTCGGTTATATAACAAAGCTCGCGACAGTCCAACATATCACGATCTAGCCTGTCTTTAAGGTTCGAGCTAAAAAATCCATTCCACACTAGTATTTTTGGAGTAAGGTACAAGCCTTGGCTTATGAATTTTCGCATCTGAACAGTGTTGTTAAAATCGCTTAAATCACAAATTGTCTCCGGATTAGGATTCCATCTTTCGAACCATGTATATAATATTCTGCAACTACTTTAGCTGAAATTTAGCGACTAGAAAACATTACCTGCTGTTTAGTTTTTAAAAACTGAATGTTTAGGTGAATAATCCTCACCATTACTAAGTTTTATTATCAAAAAACAGCATCAATTCAATGTTTGAAAGTTGCTGCAGCAGCGACCATTTGATCAATGTGTGAAGTAAGAAAGTCAATAATATCCTCATCTATTTCTATAAAGTGCTAACCCGCTGACGCATAAGGCAACTGTAAACCAAAATGCAATCCTCATAATTCCAAGCTGAAAATTCCGCTTTTGGTGCCAATATCTTTGTCGTATAATCCTCTTTGTGGAATTTTCAAGTTTTTCATATTCATCATCGTCAGGAGAGGTTTGCAGGGGAAAGTAGTTTCTATTATGCAACAAACGCATAAAGCTGAAAAAGTTTGCCAAGTCTACAGTATTGATATTAACTTTGAAGCTCTAAACAAGTTTTTTTTTTTTGCTGCTTTAAGTAGCATAAAAGCAACAAAAAGTTTGTTTCATACAAGATTATGGTCATAAAAATTTTTGCCTAAGTTTAACATCTAATTAATTTTATAAGATAACGTGTACCAGTATCATATTTTATTTGAAACTTTTCTTAAAACAAAGAAAAATCTCTTCTGGAGAGCAAATTTGGCAAGTACTTCTTTAGAATGTTTAAAATTAGAGTTTTTTTTGAATATCAAAATTTGTATTCAAATTACAATGTTTAACAGATTTAAAAGAAATTTTTTTGTTAATTAATTAATTTTTATCTATTATCTCATTACAGATTATTGTTGCTAATTGAATTACAGAATAAAAGCATAGTAGCATTTTTTTTTTCTAAGAAAATAAAGAAGTGCAAACCATACTTTAAAATCATGTTGGTGTAAAGTTAATGATCTTCATCGACAAGTCTGGTCTAGTTCATTCTACTGCAGATTTGATCGAACACTATATAAACCATAAAAAACTAACAACCGGCAAACATTAATTTTTAGTAATTAATGACACCGAATCGTTTTAACAACCGCAAATCTACAGCTAAGAATCAGGTAAAAAGCAACAACAACAAAAAAAAATTTAAAATTTACTTTAAAACCAACTTTTTTAATTGGTTTAATTGCTTAGTTAAATTATATCTAAAAGATTGCTGACAAACTTTCAAAATAAAACCTGAAGAAATTTGTGTTGGAATTTAAAAAAAACAAACAAACTTCGATTATAACATTTAATGCCAAAATTATTAAAATAACCTTCTTTTCAGTAGTTCAACTGAAGATGTAGCAATGTCTGAACTTCTGACTATAATTTCTGCTTCTGTTCACTGTTTTTGATTCTGGAACAAAGTAATATTTACTACAAAATTTTTTAGAATAAAATACTACATAACTTTTTAGAGTTACTAAAAAAAATTGTTGTTGTTTAAGTGAATGTGAATAGACTGATTAATTGAGCAACAATTAATATAATAACAATAATCAAAAAAAATTAAGGAAAAAAGAAAAAATACGATAAACCTTATTTGTAGGAAGTGTGTTAAAGAAGTCTACACGTAGATGCCGCTTCTTATTCCAAACGTTTGAGAGAAACAACGATTTTTTATAAGAAGATGAAAATAGTGTTAAAACATAATGTTTCGTCAAACTCAGCTTACAAATTTCTTTGGTCTTTTGGTACAAGAATGTGCGGCTCATAAGGATTATATGTTACTGAAACGTATCCAATTTGGACTAAATGAATTGCCATTATCACAGTCTTTATGCAAAAAAAATGTTAAAAATTATTGATAAAAGAAAAAAATAAGATCAAGAAAAAAAAATTGAAGTTAAATCTTTAGTAGTCATAAATAAACTGCAAGTACGAAAAAGGAATATTTAGGATAAGCAATTAAAGACACAGTAGTAATGATACTTTGTCTATAGTATTCCGGGGGTTCTCTAGATCAGATGCTGTAAATCATTGTTCTCTCTTCGTCATGTTGGCTTTATTTTAATCATTTTTGTCTAATAAATAGTCAATAGCTAAGTGGACGACACAACAATAAGGTTAGAAGCAGTCATAAAAATTTGCTTCCTGGTGTTTTATCGTTTGCTTATAATATTGCCTTAAAATTGCCACTTCTGCCTATGTATCTAAACAATCGTCTCTTATCCGTCACACACCTTCGTCTCTCTTAAAAACCTCAGTACATTTAATCATTTTCAAAAACCTTTTGACAACCGCAATTGGCTTCAACGGATAACTAGTGGCTGCTAGCATCAACAATAAAAATTCTGTTTACGTAGCAAATTTTAATTTTGCAAACGCTTTGTCTTCAAAAAAAAAAAA